TCTTCTCATAACCATAAGTCTAAGTTCCACAAGAGTAACAAGTCACACGACAATCAACAGAATAAAAATTTTGGAGGTCAGACTTCTGGTGATCCCAAAGGAACTTAAAAGAAAATGACCAATGTAAGTTCTACAAAAAGAAGGGTCACTGACAGAAAGATTGTTTTAAGTTTAAGACTTGGTTGGAAAAGAAGAAGAGTTCCGCAGGTATCTCATTGGCCTTAGTTTGTTTTGAGTTTTCTTTTGTAGAAGTTCCTTTGAATTCTTGGTGGTTAGACTCGGAAGCCAGTATTCATATTGCGAACTCCTTATAGGGATTCACAAGCAAACGGAGGCCAAGTGAGGATGAAGTAAGCATGTACGTTGGAAATGGAGGATTCACAAGCAAACGGAGGCCAAGTGAGGATGAAGTAAGCATGTACGTTGGAAATGGAGTTCAAGTGAATGTTGAGTTCATAGGAGTAATGAAGTTATCTTTGGAGTCTGTTTTCTCTCTTCTTTTAGAGAATACCATTTTTGTACCGACAATGAAATGGAATTTAATTTCTATATAGAAACTTGATGCATCTAATTTTTTCTTTAATTTTGATAATGGAATGGTTGAATTGTTTTATGATACTTGTTTGATTGGAAATGGCATCTTATGTGATGGTTTATATAAATTGTCTTTGGTTTCTTTTGGTGTAATCTTTTGTGTTGCTAATGTGTCAAGAAAAAGTCTCTAATTCTTGAATCATCCTCTATGTTGTGGCATAAGCGGTTGGGTCACATTTCAAAGGATAGGATGGAGAGATTGGTTAAAGTTTTCTATCTTGACTTCTTTGATTTTGACACTCGTGTGGATTGTTTAAGAGGAAAGCTAACTAAATTCACTAGGAAAGGTTCCACTAGGAGTGTTGAAATTTTGGACTTGAAGCATTGATATTAGTAGACCTTTACCTTCCACCATATGTGGGAACAAATATTTTATAATTTTTATTGATGATTTCTCGCGATATGGATATATTTACTTGATAAATGATAAATCTAATGCACTTGAGAAATTCAAGATTTTCAAAATAGAGGTAGAGAAACAATGTGGGAAAATCATCAAAGTTTTAAGATCTGATCGAGGTGGTGAGTACTATGAAAAGTATGACGAGTCTGGTCGAAACATGGATGATTTTGCAAAGTTTTTACAAGGGGGTTGCATAGTACCTCAATATACTATACCAGGGACACCTGAGCAGAATATCGTTTCTTAATGACGTAATCGAACTCTAAAAGACATGGTCAGGAGCATAATGAGTAGAACAAATTTGTCAGAATATATAGGGTGAAGCCTTGAAAACTGCCATGTATATTTTTAAAACAGAGTTCCGAGTAAAGCTGTTGTAAAGACAACTTTTGAGTTGTGGACAGGACGTAAGCCAAGTTTGGCTCATTTCACAGTCTGGGGATGTCCAGCTGAGGTGAGAATTTTATAATCATTTTGAGAAGAAATTAGACCCAAAATCCACTCTTTGTTACTTTATTGGGTACCCAGACAGATCAAAAGAATATAAGTTCTATTGTCCCAATTGTGGAACCAGAATTGTTGAGTCAATCAATGCTAAATTTCTGAAAAATGACTTTGGTGATAGTGGGAGTTCTACATTAAAGGATTTTTTTGTTGAACCGAGTCCAATTGTTGTTCTAGTTCCTGTTATACAGAAAAGAGTTATAAGTCAACCAGCTGAAATTGTTGATGAAGAACTTGGGCACCAAGAGGAACTACAGTTTCTCCACCAACAACGATTGAGTCAGTTCCTGAGCCACAAGTTAGGAGAACGAAAAGGGAAAGAAGGTCTGCATTGCCTAGTGATTACATTACATATTTGTTGGAGAGTGATTTTAATATTGTGTATATTGTTGACCTTGTTACTTAGCCCTCGTTTGACACCCTTTTTTTTTATCTCATTCTCATTCTCATTTTTCTACAGTACTCATTTCTAACCACACATTCTTTAAATAAAAGAATATTACACATAAACTCAAAAATTCTTCTTACTTTTTAACCACACATTCTTTACATCAATCAATATTCAAAAACTCATTCTTCAAAAGAATGGGTGCCAAACAAGCTTTTATAATCAAGTATTGACAAGTCCTGAGTCACATAAATGGATAAATGCTATGGAAGATGAAATGAATTCTATGGAACAGAATAAAGTTTGAAAACTTGTTGAACTTCCTCCGGATGCTAAAGCCATAGATAACAAGTGGATCTTCAAAAGCAAATTGGACTCAAAGGGAAATGTTGAACGAAAGAAGGCAAGATTAGTTGAAAAAGGGTTCACTCAACGAGAGAGCATTGGTTATAATGAAACATTTTCACTTATTTCGTCCAGAGATTCTTTTCGAATTAATATTATGGCACTTGTGGCACATTATAATGTGGAGCTTTATCAGATGATGTTAAGACAGCTTTTCTGAATTGAGATCTTTTGGAAATGGTTTACATGGGACAACCTGAAGATTTTGTTGTAAAGGGTAAATAAAACTTGGTATGTAAGTTGAATAAATCCTTATATGGCCCCAAGCGGGCATCACGACAGTGATATTTGAAATTTGACGATGTTGTGAGTTCTTTTGGTTTTGTTGAAAATACAATTGATCAATGTATTTATCTCAAAATCAGTGAGAGAAATTTTATTTATCTTGTCCTGTATATTGTGACATTTTGCTTGCTGGCAGTGACTTGAGGTTATTTCATGAGACAAAGAAGATGTTATCTGTTAATTTTGAGATGAAAGATCTTGGAGAAGCTACTTATGTGTTTGGCATTGAAATACATCGTAATAGAAATCGTGACTTGTTGGGACTTTCTCAAAATGCTTATATACGATATGTTCTAGAAAGGTTCAATATGCAGAATTGTGCATCTGGTGATGTACCTATCATAAAAGGGGATGAATTTAACAAAGCTCAATATCCAATGAATGACCTAGAAAAAGAATCTATGAAGATGATACCATATGCTAGTGCTGTAGGGAGTTTGATGTATGCTCAAGTTTGCACTAGACCAGATATTGCTTATGCAGTCAGTGTTCTGAGTAGGTTTCAATCGAATCCAGGGCAAAACCATTTGAAAGCGGCTAAGAAAGTTATGAGATACTTAAATAAAACTGAAAGTTACATGCTCACTTTTGAGCGTTTCAAATCACCTTGAGGTGGTAGGCTACTCAGATTCATATTTTGCTGGATGTCAAGATGATTTGAAATCAACCTCATGTTATATTTTCATGTTCGCTGTTGTTGTATCTCGTGGAAAAGTGTTAAGCAGACTCTAGTGACATCTTCTACTATGTAGGCTGAATTTGTAGCATGTTATAGAGCTACAGTTCAAGTCGTTTGGTTGAGAAATTTTATTTCTAGGTTGAAAGTTGTTGACTCCATCTTGATGTCAATCACTATTTATTGTGATAATAGCACAGCAGTGTTCTTTTCAAGAAATAATAAAAGTTCTAGTGGATCAAATCATATTGACATCAAATATTTGGTGATCAGAGACAGAGTCAAGGAAGGACATACGAAAATAGAGTATGTCAATACAGAGGCAATGATTGCAGATCATTTGACTAAGGGACTCGCTCCTAAAGTTTTTAAGACATATGTTGCTAATACGGGTATTGTGGAAATCTTTGATGTTTTTGGTTAGTGGGAGTTTTTATGTAAAAGAACTACGTTTTGGCTTGATCCATTCACGGGGTACGTAGGCAGCCCATTATTCTTCAGGTACAGCCCCTTCCAATAATAAAATATATTTTCTCATATCCATAAATTATTTTGAATATGCATTTGACTTATGTCTTTTATTATTATATTATTTTGATCTCGAGATATAACAATTAAAGACATAAGATGAGTCTCTTTTAGAGACACTTGACTTCATTTTGATTAAAAGCATTGTGAGGACCGTTATGAATTAGCAAAGTTTTTAATCACATTTGGTGTTAAGTTCATACTTAGTACTACCATATTGGTTAGATGATGGAGATCCATGTCGATAAAGATGTTGGCATTTGTAGTTGTGGAGTGGTCTTACATCATTTGATTGATGTAACGACTTCCATGATCGATGTTAACATTTTTGTTGGACCGGATCATGTTGTGTAAGATATTATCATTGCAGCTATACTTGTGTGGCCACCTATATAGTCTGACCCGGAATTTAAAAGTTTTGTTTTATAGTAATCAAATGTTTGCCCAAGTGAGAGAATGTTAGAATAATTCTATTATGTGTGCTTCCATTTGATTGTGAATTTTACGGGTTAGATGTATGGTTTACAATGATAATGTGATTAGGCCAAATATTTTAAGTGATCACTTAAGCCGTTGTACACCTTACAAGCTTTATTCTTATAATGTGGTAATTTTAAGAATGTTGGTCGGAATTATGTAAACCCTAATTAGGGTTAGATTCGATAATAGGATGGCTTTATAATTTCATATATAAATGCTAAATCTCCTCTCCTCTCCATATCTTTTATTGGCTTGCACCATTAACGGCTAATTATTTTTGAGAAGCCAGGAGATTAAGATCTAGTTGGTAATATTCATAAACAAAAATGTCTTCCTCATGTATGAATTTTAATCTATCAATTTAGAATATGAGATTGTGGTTTTTAGAATGATTATTGTCAAATTTCAACACGACAATGATTATTTTGTGTGCTTATTTCAATTCACCCAAATAATGATACCATTCTAATGGCATCACGACAAAGATTACTAACTGCTTGACGTGGATCTCAATGTGGTCCTTTAATTAATCTGTTAAGTAAGTGGTGTTAATTGTTTTCTTCACACAAAAAGTCAACACTTTGTGCTTTCTGTCTGTCTATATTACTGTGTGAGCATTAGAAATGGTCTATGCCCGTTTCTATCAACCTTTTCTCACAAATAATCATCCATTCAGATTATGGCTACAGTGAAAATCCCTCAAGTAATGTTGAACTCTGGCCATTTGATTCCAACAATAGGCCTAGGAACAGCATCTAATCCTATGCCACCACCTGAACAACTAACATCCATCCTCGTGGATGCCGTTGAGGCTGGCTACCGCCACTTCGACACTGCAGCCGCCTACGGCACGGAGGAATGTGTGGGCCGAGCGGTGGCTAGGGCACTCGACCGTGGCCTTATCAAGAACCGTGATGAAGTGTTTGTCACTTCTAAGTTGTCGTGGAAACATACTCAGCATGATCGTGTTTTACCTGCTCTCAAGGAAACACTCAGGTACTTGTACTTATTTTTAAAATAGGGGAAATTGATTTTGCAAGAATATGAAGGTTTTAGTTATATATATGTTGTAGGAAACTGGGGCTAGAATATGTGGATCTTTACCTTATACACTGGCCAATAAGGATTAAGGACAGTGCTGATCCTTACAAACTTACTGCAGAAGACATGCTTCATTTTGACATAAATGAAACTTGGAAGGCTATGGAAGAATGCTATAAATTGGGTTTGGCAAAGTCTATTGGAGTCAGCAACTACAGTTGTGCAAAACTGTCGAAACTTCTGGAAAATGCCACCATCCCTCCTGCTGTTAATCAAGTAATTATTAACTAATTTGTTCTTGCAATACTTTTGAGTCTCTAATATCATATGATTATAGGAAGTAATTTTGATTTTTGCAGGTAGAAATGAATGTTGCGTGGCAACAACAAAAGTTGCTTCAGTTTTGTAAAGAAAAAAACATTCTTGTTTGTGCGTGGTCTCCTTTGGGTGCTAATGGTGCTGTCTGGGGCACCCATCGAGTGATGCAGAGCCCAATTCTTAAAGAGATCGCAGCAACTAAAAACAGGAGTGTAGCACAGGTGAGATAGTATGGGCTTAGCTTGATTTTTACTCCAAACTGAACATAAATCCTGGGTTTTGGACAATTTTTATGGACTTGCGAAAACAAATGCAGGTAGCTCTGAGATGGATATATGAGCAAGGAGTAAGTCCCATAGTGAAGAGTTTCAACAAGGAAAGAATGAAAGAAAACCTTCAAATATTTGACTGGAAGCTCACTGAAGAAGAAGTTAGTCGAATTCAAGAAATCCCTCAGGCTAGAGGCTTCACAGGCGATCGCTTTGTTTTTCCAGAGGGGCAGTACAAATCCGTGGAAGAACTTTGGGATGGAGAAATATGAATCACTTTCTTACCCAATTTAATGCTCTTGTTGTATTGTATACAAATTACTTTTTCGTTTGATTGGGAACCAACAATAAAACATGGATCAAAACTTCTAGAAAATATTTCACATTTCAAACACTTGAAACATCCTTACCACTGTAACATTGATGTTTGAAAATGGAATGCAATGGGATTATACAAGTCTCAATCAAGTGATCTTGATGTCATGGATTTGCCATGGGCAGTACAAATCTGTTGAAGAATTTTTGGACGGAGAAATATGAATTTTACTTTCCCAACCAATTTATTGCTTTTGTGTGCTACACATTCCTATACTATTTGAATGGGAACCGTAAGAGCATATCCGATAAGCCGGATTGTACAACATGAAGATAAAGCGACTGTGATATATTTGTCCCATGTTGTGTCTTATTTTCTCTATTCCAGAAAATATGCCCTTAAATCCCTAACAAATGATCCAAACCAACTTAATCATCAGGGATATCACAGAGAAAGCAAAAGAAGAACATTACTCTTGGCAAAATAATTGTTTGATATAAATGATATGAAGTGGCAATCAATTGTTTAAAATGAAACAACTCAACATTGCAGCTCATTCTATCAACCAGAAATTCTTGTTCAAACTAAAATTATATATACAACCAATAGCTATCTTAAATAAAATCCTATAGAGATATTCATGGCCAGGCCCTACTAAGGCGATGAAAAGATTATAGTCAACTTTATACAAAGTTTTCTACCCGCAAATAACTAATCACTGAAAGAAATACCTTTTAGCGTTGCTATAGCTCAAGATCCAAATGTAGCATCAATCACTTTTATGAGAAGATTGTCAAGCACCAAATGTGAACCTTCTTGCTTAATAATCAGATGCAATTCCATGAGAGCGATAGATTCGAATCTGAAGAAAATAATATCATAAAATTATAAAACAAAAACAGAAAAAGGCATTCATATTTAGATTAGTTCTTGAAAATAATGAGACCTACTGAATCTGAGCATACAAGCATGTAGTCCATTTACCTGTGCAAATGCATATACAGCTCGCAGGATTCTAGCATAGTCAGTTCCAAGCATTTGAATCACAACATCTGCCAGAAGGGTACCCCACATCCTGCATGAGACATCCAGATTTCCATTGGTTAAAAATCACACAAGTTGATACTAACAGAAGACATGAAAACCAGGTAATGATTATACACTACAGGCAGAAGCAGAGTTAAGAATTATTAAGGGGTGAAATAAACAAGCATTATAAACGTACATTTATATATGCTCTGTAAACATGATTGTGTTGGTTATAGTTCCCCTTTATTAAAAAATATAACTAGAGTTGGCTAAATACACCAGCAATTTGGCAGGTGTTCCATGTTTTCCAACGAAGTGAGTAATATACTAATAATATAGCACATTCTGTGCTCCTTTAATGTTTAGTATAACCTAATTCCTAAACAAAAGTCCCTGAAAACCAAAAATTTCAAAGGTCTGCTTTTTCTTGGTAAAAACTTGATAAATAATTTCTCGATGCTTTGCTATATCTTTCAGAGATATAGTTTCTTTCTTCACTCCCAGATGACACTTCAGTTCTGAACACCTTAAAACTACTACACTTTCAAAGCCAGATCCTCGGAGTCATTGAACCAAAGAAAACGGTGGGGAAGTATAGAGGGATGTGTGCAACTATGCAAGAGAGAGAGAATTTAAATAAGAAAAAAGGATATCATATGACAAAATAATACCATAGAAAACATGCAACTTTTTAGGCAAAGGATAGTCCATACATTGGGCCAAGTAATTGCGCCACACTTCTAAGCCCCAAATATCGAGTGGCAGCAACTTTCAGACCCTGTCAAGTGTTGATGCTATGAAAAAGTTAGGCATAAGAACATCAAGAAGTTTGTAGCTTCTAGAGTGCATTATATCAAAGTACTAACAATAAGCAGTCCCTTTCCACCCAAGAAAAAAACACTACCATGTAAAATCCCGTTTCAGTTTGAAAAGGAAGAAGAAAAATTTATTGTTTTCTAAGATATAGTGACAAGAGCATCATGCCCAAAGCTTATTGTGAATAAGGCCTAAACATATGGTTTCTGAAGATGTTATCAGCAATCATCCTCTACTATGGGCAAAATGCTCAAATTTCATTAATTGCTACTCATAATGCCACAAAGATCAAGTATCCAAAGAAACTAATTAACCTTTTAAGTACAGCTGTTTTATTTTTGTGTTACATTTCGGATTTTGGTTTGAGAGGGTGAGTGCAGTTTTCCATATATTTAGCAAGTAGCATTAAGATTGGATAACACAACAAGTGAGTGAGTAAGAGTGTGTGTGTGTGAGAGAGAGAGAGCGAGAGAGAGAGAGGAAATCCTTGAGGAACTAGCTAATACATTATGAAAATAAGTCAAATATCTTTAACAGCATTATAAAATTCATCAAATTCAGAAGAGCATGCTGATGAACTGAAACAGCAAATGATCCCATCAATGAAGCAAAATAGCATCTCATCAGAGAGCTCAATGATACAAAATAACACCTGTTTTGCAGCAAGTAAGGCCGCTTGGGTTTCTAGGCTGATAGCTGCTAACTGTCCACCCTGAAAACCAAAAATATAATATGATTCTAATTTCCAGAATCAGGATGAGGAAATTTGTTGTGTTCTAGCCTCTAAGATAACAAATCTAACTAGGAAAAGCAGTTTCAGATTATGGACCTTGCTGACAACTTCTCTCTTCATCTGATATTTGGCAGCTTCCGAGAACATCTTTCCAGATAAGCTACCTTCCATCTGCAGCAGCATGCAAATTGCCTTATACTCGGTAAATACACACAATATCTGAAGAAATGAAATTGGACCATTTCGTACCCATGCAAAAAATTTCTCAAATGCAAGCATCCCACCTCCCTAAAATACAAAGATTATGTAAATAAATAACAGTTAAAAAGAAAGAGATACAAAGAACTCAAAACAGAAATCAGAAACCTTTAATATTGTCGATCGAAGCTCTGCAGCCCCAAACCTTACAGCTGCTACTGATTGTACCTTCCACCGACTAAGTCCAAGTTCTAGATTATCACCCCATTCAGAAGACGTTGAGCTACCCATCGAGCTTTGAAAATTTCCAGGTTCACTATGGAAAGTCATAATGCTTAACTATCAAAGATTATTCTTTCATGACATCTCTCAGGTTTATGTAATTGGGCTTTTGGCTCTCCGGTAATGCATATATAAAATATTGCTAAAATAAATAAGTATACAAATTTTTTTGGTACGTTTGTGACTGAATCAATGTCAAACAGCAAGAGAGCAGCAGTACTATAGATTCTTGCAGCAGGATAATGTAGGAATAGTGGCTGAAGTTTGAAGAACACAATAGTTATAAGGGTGAGAAATGGTAGTGGTCGGAGGCAGGAACCAGGAAGAAATTAATGCTTATCACAGGTTATTAAACGATTTTTTTGTTATCTCGAAGTTGAAATTTTGAATCATACATTATTTTTCAACAAATTGTACTTCGGTAATATTATCTACAGAAAGAATGAAGGCTCAATATATATTACAAGGAATAGGCAGGCCACTAATACATAACTTGTGGAACTCATAGTGGACCAAAAGGGGGAAACTTAAGAAGCATATTCCAACCACTTATCATATTCTCCTTCTGCACGTAATCATTTTAACAAACTTCTCTCAACGATGAACAGATAACAACTAAATTGAAGAAGTTGCTCAGTATCAAAATTTAAAGCAGAAAGAAGAAAGAGGCTTGACATACCTTGAGTATTCTTGCAATAGATGTAGAAAAATCTCTACTTCTAGATCTTCAGTTGATAATTTGGCTGAACAAGGAATTTTTAATTTTTTTCTCACTTCAAGTAATACATTTCTATATGATGGCCTCCAACCCCTAGCATCAATTAAACAAAATGACAAATTTATCTTTAGGATTATAAAAGATAATGTTTCCCAGCTGTGACTATGATCTTTCTCACAAGGTGCTCTCGGATGATAATTTTATTCCACAATCCATCCTTTATATCCTAAGTTTCACAAATATGTTACTTACATGGGTATATTTGTTTTCATTTAGATCATAAATGCACTTGATAATTATTTTCCGAAAGTGTTTTGCTTCTCTAATTGTTATATAGTTGATTCATGAAATTTTAGCACATATTCTAAGAAAGGGCATAGAATAACCTTAAGGTAGACTTTGCATCAGCTGCAAGATACAAAAATCTTGATTCAAGCGTCGAAATAAAATGTTCCCTTTTGTCCAAATCTTCTCCAATCATAACATGATCAACTTCATCCCTTTTCGTTATTGATTTCAGCAAAGGACTGAAATAACTGAAAAAACAACCGAATATTAAGGATGGGGAACTCCCTATATAAAAATGAAATACCAATGCCACAGCAATTCTGAATAAATAGCTTATCCAAAGAAGGTAACACCTAAGGTACCTTCACATTTCAGTACACCAAAATACTACACCTACTGACATACACCATGAGCCAAGAGCAAGGCACATGATCCATTTAAAAACCAACTTCCTGGGGATTTAAATTACCTTTAACAGCATTAAAAATTGAGCCTTGAGGCACAATTATTAGGCCTCAATTTGAGGTGCATCTCATAAACGCCTTTTAAAACCATGCACTTAAAGCATGAGCTAAGAGCAATATATAACCCATGAAAGCAAAAGGTACTTAGTACCATACGATAATGTTGCACTAGCAGATAAAAGAAGATAGTAGCTCGTGACAGGTCGTACATTGCACTATAATTGTTGTAAATCGTTCTTGAAAGATGTTACCACTATTATAGTTTGAAAAAAAGTAAACGGGTATTGTGGCCTTTTTTTGTCATGAGGCGAGGCGTAAGCCTCAAAACGTTTTGAGGCGTAAGCCTCACCACAAACGAAACAGGTGCAATCTGCTGAACAGAACAGGTGCAATCTGGCGTCGATGCACTGAACAAGAAAAAAGCCAAGCAAAGTCTAGTGAAACAATTTTAAATTGTAAGTCACTAGAAGAAGGCAGAAGCAAAGAAGAAAAGAGACATAGAAGCAGCACTTGAGGATCTCTTTTAAGCGAAGGATTGAAGATAAGTTTTCTGGCTGCCGTTTAGTTCTGAGAAGATTTCTGACTGTCGTGTAGTTTTAGCCATCTAAGAAGATTTCTGTCAGCCGTGTAGAAGGATTTCTGGCTGCCTTTTGGTATTCTAAATATTTTAATATTTTGTTTGGCCCAAAATGTCTTTTTAAATGGGCACTTCTCTTTTTTAAAGAGGTCTTTTTTAATTCTTTTCAAAAACCTGAAAAAAACATACTTCAAATGAGGCGCATGCCTCATTTTTTTTTTGCCTCAGATGTAGAGACGTGCGCCTCATTTTTTTTGCCTCACAGATTGAGCCTCGAGGCACAGAAGCTGCGCCTCACAGTGAGGCGGGTCTCAGCAGGGTTTTTTTCATACCATGACCACTATACACTACTTCAAGAAAATTGTATACGTAATCTGAAAGCATAAATAGTAAGAACCTGGGTCCAAATAAAATTTTCTCAAGCTCATACAATTCAGAGTCAGTGGCAAGTTCAAGCACAAAACGAAGCTCCGGATCGTATGTACTGCTTCAACTACCCTCTGTTAAGTGTAAACACACCAAAATGAAATAATAGTAATAACAACAATCCAACAAGAACTTTCAATTTTCAATAATTCTAAAAAAACTCTTATAATGTGATACCATATGGGTGTCTTGAAATTGAATCACGAGGACTCGAGAAGGAGTTTGAAGGTGGGACACGATTAATGTTACTCCTGCGTAGCTTCAAAAAACCCTACAAAAAATTTCATAATTAGGACTCTACACTTTGGTATCAATTGTGGGTCTAGAAGTACTTACTGAAGAATTGAGAGCAGAGGGAAAGGGTGATTGGTGATGATGGAAGAATTGGAAATGGTGGACTTGGGAGAGAGAAGAGAGTGGCGGCGTAGTGGCGGTTGTCGGCGTGAATGCGGCGGGCATTGGAGGAGACATGAGTTGCAGTAGGCGCTGCTAGTTCACCAGAACCACACTAGACTCGGACTCGGCCAGTGAGTAGACACAATCCACGCAGACTGATGGCAAAAGGCCAAAATTCCACTCTCTCTCCCCAAATTGGGTAAATTTCATCTGCGACCACCCGAACTTTTAACGAAATTTCAGTTTGATCACTGAACTCCAATTTAGATTCAAATTTCTCGATTTTTTCACGTTTCATCACTTATCATTCAATTCATTCCCCAAACAGACATGAATTGATTACTTGACGATAATAACTGATCTTTCACATAATCACTATGTAATACACTAGAAATAAAACAATGGTCATAGTATTATCTTTATATTAAAAGCTTATATTTGTTTATTTTACGTAGTGATAAACTGGATTAAATGGAAAGTCCATACAACGGTTATATTGAAGGTCCAATATTGTAAGACTGTCACTTATGTAATGGAGCTGTGAATTTAAATTATAGTAAAGGAACTTGTTTAAAATTAATTAATCCTCTTTCTTGGTTGCATTAGCTCCTGTTTGATGCACATTTTGGGAGTAAGAATGCATTTTTATTGTTGATGTGATATGAAATATGTGGTTGAAAAAGAAGAAAAAATTCTTGATGTGATGAAAAATATTATTTTATTGAAGAATGTGTTGTTGAAAATGAGTAGAAGAATGAAAATGAGAAAAATAATGTGGCTCAAATAGGGACTTAGTTGAGCTTTCATAGCGAAGCACATCACAAGTTGTATATCATTTGTATTAAATGACATGACACTTTTTTTTTCCGTGTTTTCCACTTTATATTCACAGTATAAACAGAAATATTATAATGGATATATTCCCAATTAAAAGTTATTTTTAGATAATGAAATGTTCATAATTTTCTTCAAACTTCTCCAAATAATTCGGAGAAATAAAGTCATTGGCATGTTTCATCTCATCAAATAGGCTAGATCGAGCCAACACGAGACCCCTTTAGACACCTCTACCTTTTAAGAAGGAAGATCATATCCAATACATCCATATTCTTCAACATAGAGAATCATCTGTAGCAACTCACAACATCGTTTTGGGAAAGAATATAAAGAATTATTGCAATACAAATACAGATAGAACAAGCAATAGGGCGTGCCACATCACACTTGCAACAATCACAAGCCAGCCGATACCAAGTCATGCAACGTAACAATACCAATCAAAATATTATCATCACTGATTACGGGTAAAAACTGTACTGGGGATGGTGGAGATTCCATCTTCTGCATTGCGTCAACAGCCATTCCATCAGGACCAATTGTCCTTGGGTTCCTGAAAGACTAGACCGAGTCATATAAGTGCTTAAAAACTATGGGTCCTACGGTATTGAGATAAAGTGGATAGCAAATAGTGGATCCTAAGAAATGCGTGGATAACAAGTATGTTTGACTAGCTTAAATTTAAATTATTGTTTAAGCTTTTCCAAGCATGCTCTAAATGCAGCTCCTTCCAATAGTTGGATTACTAAATTTTCCATGAAAATTTTATAAAACCAGAAACTGATAATACAGGGTGTTTACTCTGAAGAATGTCTAGGTCTAGTATTTCCTAGACTCAAAATTCGAAAATACTTCAGAGAACACAGCCATTGAAGTCCAAGATGAACTAAGAAAGAAGAATAACATGACTGCTGGCAAACTTCATATAGTGCAATGCAAATTATGAGTTGACAAAATATAATCACATAATGGTTTCACCAATTCTTTACTTTAGAGTTGATTTACTCCATTGGCTTAAGTTACTTAAATGTTGGCCTTGAGGCACTTTATGCATATTGGAACAATTAATAGATTTACGTGAGGTGGTCGACAGCAGAGGAATAGTAGTTGACCTGTTACACATTTCTCCCACTGAAAGCTTGAAGATCCCTTCACCACTAGCTTTCAACGTACGCCGTAAATCACCATCTGTAAATGTACCTAGCAGATGATAGCCATCATCTATAACAAGAAGACATCCACAACCTTTACTAGTTAGCTCTACCAGCTGATCCATGATTAGATCTCCTTCCTTGCAAACTGGAAGTTCTTCTTTCTTCTTCATAAGATCCTTCACCTGCACCACAAAGAGATCGGTACAGTTAAATGTTGCACAAAATCATTTCATATGGACCTACAAATGGATATGGCAATTTCACGAGTAAAAAGTTGGAACCAAAACAAATACATGACATAACACGTAATTTTTCAACAAGAAAGAAAATTCCTCAATCTGTAACTGAATCTCACTCCATCAGATCATGGGGAAATGACAATCTAATAAAAGATTTCGTCCTTCCTGAGTCATAGTCCAACCACCGCTATACAAGTAATGGTTCATCAAGAAAATTCCTCAATCTATATGAACACAAGAAAATGTCTATAGAAATAGAATCCACTCCACCTTCTTACAAGGAAATGACAAAGCAAGAACAGACCCTTCCTTCCTGATTCAAGAATCAAGGTCTAGCTACTACGATAATGCACAACTTTTTTCGCTCTTGCACATCGTTTGCTCAATTATGTCGCTCTAGCATTACCATTTTGCTTCAAATCCAAACAAGTTGCACAAGATCCTCAATTATTGTACATTATTAGAATCCCTCATTGGTTGGGAAAATATAAATGATCCACTTAATAAGGTGATGGCAATCCTCCCCTAATAAGCCGGTTTTATTATGTGGAGTTAGGCCCAAAATCCTTTCTAACATAGTATCAGAGCTAGGTTCAATTATGCAATGTTGGGTGCCACCCAATATCAATTTGTTCACAATTGTTTGGCATGGTCCACACTGTGTGTGAGGGGGAGTATTAGAATCCGACATTGCTTGTTGAAATATTCCTCACGTTCCCAACATCTCATCAGTTCACACGGCCTGCACAGCAATACTTCCAAATCCTTCTCTTCTCACATGCTCACCAGCACATCCAGCTTATTCTAGATTGTTCTTATGTTTGTTAGAAGTTTTATCTATAAATATAGCAATGTAATCACCTTTACAATTGAGCTTGATGAATGAATAATAAATCTCCTATCATCAGTTCCTTCAATATGGTTTTACCTATTGAATCTATCTTTCAGTTTCTCTGCATTTATCTTTCATTTTCTGCTGCTCGTTAAATTCGTTTTTCTGTTGATCTGTGTTTGTTGATTTCAATCTGCTGGTGTACGATTTCTGCTAATCTGTGTTACTGATTTCAATTTCTTAAGATGGTATCAGAGAGTGATTGCTTCCTGTTGCTCTCCGTTCTTCAGTCGTCCGCCATGTGTTCGACAAAAGTTCCCACTGGCGAGGGGGGTTGCACTGGTGGTTTTTCTTCCCGTCATTGCAGGAGTTTTTATAGCATTTCCAGTTCTTATTTCATTCATCAATGGTGATGAAGTTTTCCTTCAGCAATTGCCCGGTTTTAGAGCCATGGATGCTCACTTGTTCCGGTTGATTTTTTTGCTGTTTTTTGGATCAGAATCTGATCTATTTCTTACTCTTTTTTTGGATTGCTTCTCTGCTGGACCTTGTCTTCAACCCCAGTTGCATCTCTGTTTTCCGACTACATCTCATCAGATCACCAGCATCAGTTCACACGTCCAGCAAGTCTTCCTTCCAGATTCTTCATGTTGATCAGGCTACCTTGATCTCCGCTCTTTCCTCTATAGTTCAAGATGTTCCATCTTCAGGGGGGAGTGTTGAAATATTCCTCACGTTCCCAGCATCTCATCAGTTCACACGGCCTGCACAGCAATACTTCCAGATCCTTCTCTTCTCACATGCTCACCAGCACATCCAGCTTATTCTAGATTGTTCTTATGTTTGTTAGTTTGTTAGAAGTTTTATCTATAAAATATAGCAATGTAATTACCTTTACAATTGAGCTTGATGAATGAATAATAAATCTCCTATCATCAGTTCCTTCAATATGGTTTTACTTATTGAATCTATCTTTCAATTTCTCTGCATTTATCTTTCATTTTCTGCTGCTCGTTAAATTCGTTTTTCTGTTGATCTGTGTTTGTTGATTTCAATCTGCTGGTGCACGATTTCTGCAAATCTGTGTTACTGATTTCAATTTCTTAAGATACATCATACTTCAATAATTACACTTCCACATTAAACTTTAATATTCTTTTTAATTGTATATCTACTTCAGCAATCACATCTCCACTTAAAACTTGATTTGCATTTGCAGTTCAAGAATTACATCTCTGTTTTTTGGCATAAACACTTTCCTCTTAAGATCATAATCATAAATTCAAGCTCAAATCGTAGTTCTAAACAATAAATTAGAGTATTTTAAAATCAAGAACAAATCACCTTGAAAATCAAGCTCTTTCCAATCCTCCCTGCTGGATGATTCGCAGCATACTCCTTTTTGCTCAAATTCCGAGCCCCCATTAGGGCGATAGCTACAGTATCTCCAAAAACCATCTGGATTGCGGTCGAGGTTACCGGCGCCAAATCAAACGGGCACAATTCTCTCTCCAGAGGCAAATGCACGTTCAGATCACACAATCCCATCAGCCCATTAGGCTTCACCGACGTCACAGATATTAAATACGCCCCCTTGGCCTTCGCGCACGGCACAAGCCTCAACAATTCCTCAGAATTCCCACTCTTACTGAATAAAACCAGTAAATCATCTGAGGCCAAAACGCCAATGTCCCCATGGAGCGCATCGACAGGGGGTAAAAACCCAGATTTTATACTGAGAGAAATTAACGTCTGGGAGATTTTCTGAGCCACGAAGCCGGATTTTCCTACACCAGTGAAAAAAATGGTGCCCCTGCAATTCAAAAGCGTTTGTGTAAAATTTAAGGTCTGAGAGAGATCAAGGTTTTGAAAGAAATGGTTGAGGTAATTTTGTTGGGCTTTGAACAGATTAAGCAATTTGGTTTGATCAATTATTGATTTTTCTTCTTGTTCTTGCGGGAACGAAATTGAAAGAGATCCCATTTCTTCCTTTATTTTTTTTTCTTTCTATGTGTTCGATTCTGGGTTTCTTCCCTGGTAAGTGTTGATTTTGCAGGGCAGGGATGGGAGAATGTGCTCTGGTTACTATGAATAGTAATTTCTTGAACTAGTGGAAATAAGTACTTTAGTGGTATTAATCTTGTTCTTCTGTCACTTATAATTGATAATTTTTCACTTTTATTTCAGAGTTTCAGTAACCATACCGACGCTGCTAATTAACAATTGGGAAAATTGTAGCGAAGGTCCCAAACTTTTCAATTTATTGCATATTACACCCAAAACTTTTATTTTTGCACCAACAATCCCAAACCTTTTACTTCGACTATATCAGGAGGACAATGGACAGAATTCGTCCATTAATACGTTAGGCAACCCAAAGAAAATTGAAACTTTGACTCAATTTCACCAATTAAGTGAAGGATAAAATTGTAATTTTACATATAACTATTTTTTTTTCATAATTCATCTTCTTCCTCGACCAACCTGTTAAGAAATATATGGTTATTTTGTTTTATTATTTATTAAGGGTAGAATAGTCTTTTCGATTTCTTTTGTTTGGCCTATATATAGTCTCTTTATATCTAGGTTAAATTATCTTTTTCTTATTCAATTGCATTGTGCAGAATCAATGAAATCCTAACTTCTTTTTCTTTTTCTTTATTTTTTTGGATTGTTTTACATGGTATCATAGCTAAGTTTCATGAGATCTGACATAATCTCAAACACAACTAATTTTTTTAGAAACAAGACGATTTTGAGAGGGTTTTCATTCAATTTCTGCAATCTGGTATTTCGTTAGGGTTTTCATTCAGCTTCTACAATCTGGTATTTTGTTTTCCTTTTTTTTTTGCGATATGTGTTTCCTTATTTTTTTTTTATTATGGCTACTGAAAGAGACGATGCGCTTCAGTCTGTGAGTGTGAGGTTAGATGGAAAGAATTATTCGTATTGGAGTTACGTGATGAGAAATTTTCTTAAGGGTAAAAAGATGTGGGGATATGTTAGTGGAACTTATGTGAAACCTAAGGATACTGATGAGGGTTATGCTGCTTTGATAGATGTCTGGGAAGCAAACAATGGAAAAATTATTACTTGGACTAACAATTCTGTTGAACATTCCACAGGTAGAGAGTTGGCTAAGTATGAGACAGCAAAGGAGGTTTGGGATCATCTGCAAAGGTTATTCACTCAAATTTTGCAAAACAGTATAAATTGGAAAATGACATATGAGCTCTTCAACAGAAGAATATGAGTGTTCAGGAGTTTTATTCTACTATAACAGATCTTTGGGATCAATTGGCTCTTATAGAATCGATAGAATTAAAGGTGTGTAGTGCATATATTGCTCATAGAGAGCATCAACGGTTGGTACAGTTTCTAACGGCATTTAGCAGTGATTTTGAAGGACTTAGAGGTTCAATTTTGCATCGTTCTCCACTTCCTTTTGTTGACTCAGTTGTCAATGAGTTATTGGCTGAAAAATACGTCTTAAGTCTAATTCTGAAAAGGGGATTCTTTCTACTTCTAATCCTTCTGTGTTAACAGTGCCTTCTAAGTCACTATCTAATAATGAGAATATGTTTCACGTAAGAGCTGCCCCCAACAAGTGTAGTTTCTGTAAGCAGAAAGGTCATTGGAAGGCTCAGTGTCCTAAGTTGAGACAGCAGAATCGAACCGTACAACAATCTCAAGCTTGGAAGCTTAGCAATCAGTTAGAATCGAATGCTCGTAGACCACCTCAGGATTATAGACCACCACAGTCCAATACTACAGCGGTAGTTTCATCAGGTCCTTTCACTGATCCTAGTAATTTGGCTGAGCAATTTCAGAAGTTTCTCTCCTTACAGCCACAAGCTATGTCTGCTTCTTCCTTCGTAGGTCAGTTGCCTCACAGTTCTTCAGGTATGTCACATTCTGTGTGGGTCTTGGATTCTGGTGCTTCACATCATATGTTTCCAGATTCTTCATCTTTTGCTTCCGTGTCTCCTTCGTCTTCTATTCCTGTCATGACTGCTGATGGCACTCCTATGCCTTTAGCAGGTGTTGCATCTGTTGTCACACCTCACTTGTCTCTCCCTAATGTTTATTATATTTCGAAACTCACATTAAATCTTGTTTCTTTGGTCAGTTATGTGATTCTGGTAATTTAGTCACATTTCCTCTTCTTCTTATTATGTGCAAGATCTGCAGTCTCAGAAACTGATTGGGATATACCGTAGGAAGGGGGACTATATATTTTGGATGAGTTAAAAGTGCTAGTTGTTGCTGTTGCTACTAGTGTTGATTTGTCTTCTTTTGGTTTGAGTCCTCTTCTTCTAGTTTTTATTTATGGCATTCTCGCCTAGGTCATGTTTCGTCTTCTCGTTTGAGATTTTTGACTTCTACAGGGGCATTAGGAATTTTGCAATCTTGTGATATTTCAGATTGTAGTGGTTGTAAACTCGCAAAAATTTTCAACTTTACCTTTTAATCGAAGTATTTTTGTTTCTTCATCTCCATTTGATTTGATTCATTATGATGTATGGGGGCCTTCTTCTGTTGCCACAAAAGAAGGGTCTCGATATTATGTTTCTTTTATTGATGATCATACTCGTTATTGTTGGGTTTATTTAATGAAACATCGTTCTGAATTCTTTGAAATATACATAGCATTTCGTGCTCTTGTCAAAACTCAACATTCTGCTGTTATCAAATGTTTTAGGTATGATTTGGGTGGGGAATACACTTCTAATAAATTTTGTAAGCTGCTTGCCTTAGATGAAACTATTCACCAAACTTCGTGTATAGCTAGAGCAAAATGGTGTTGCGAAAGAAAACATAGGTACATTATTGAAACTGCTCGCTCTCTTTTGTTGTCTGCTTCTATTCCTAGTGTGTTTTGGGGTGAAGCAATTTTTATTGCTGTAGGTTTGATTAATACAATTTCATCTTTTCATATTTCAGGTTTTTCTCATTTCGAAAAGTTGTATGGGTATGCCCCTGATTATTTTTTCTTTAGAGTTTTTGGTTGTACTTGTTTCGTTCTTCGTCCTCATGTAGAACGCAGCAAGTTGTCATCTTGATTTGCTATTTGTGTCTTTCTTGTTTATGGTGAAGGTAAAAAGGGGTATCGTTGCTTTGATCCAATAACTCAAAAAGTTTATGTGCCTCGTCATGTTATTTTTCTCGAGCATATATCTTTCTTTTCTAGTCCATCCACTACTCATAGTTTGACCAGATCCGATATTATTAAAATAGATCATTTTTCTGACGATTCTGATAGTTTGTCATCTCAGGTTTTTAGCACTTCAAATACCCCTTCTCATGTTCTTACTCCGTTATCTTTACAACCAATTCGTACTGATCATTCTGCATGTACTGACACTTTACTCTCCGGCACACCTGAAGCTCCCTCCTCTCCTATGGTCCCTCAAGCTTCGTCTGAGACTGTGGATCCACCTCTACCCATAAGCATTCGTAAGTATAGAAAGTTACCAAATTTTGCTTGTTCTTTTTATTCTTCATCTTTTACTTCCTTTTTAGCTTCTATTCATTGTCTCTCTGAGCCCTCTTCCTATAAAGAGGCAATTCTCAATCCTCTTTGGCAGTAGGCTATGGATTAGGAACTTTCTGCTTTGTATAAGAGTGGTACTTGGGATTTGGTTCATCTACCTCCCAATAAGAGGGTTGTTGGTTGTCGTTGGGTGTATAAGATCAAGACCAATTCCGATGGATCAATTGAGCGATACAAAGCTAGGTTGGTTGAAAAAGGGTACTTTCAACAGTATGGTATGGATTATGAGGAGACATTTGCTCATGTTGCAAAAATGACTACTATTCGTACTCTTATTGCAGTAGCTTCGGTTCGTCGTGGCGTATCTCAGAACTTGATGTTAAAAATGTCTTCTTGAATGGAGATCTTTACGAAGAAGTTTATATGGCCCCCTCCTAGTGTTCCACATGATTTTGGGTATGTTTGCAAGCTCAAGAAAGCGTTATATGGTCTCAAATAAGCACCTCGTGCTTGGTTTAAGAAATTTTCTGTTGTGATATCTTCCATTGAATTTGCTTCTAGTAGTCATGATTCTGCTTTTTTTGTTAAGTGCACTGATGCAGGTCGTATCATTCTATCTATATATGTTGATGACATGATCATTACTGGTGATGATATTGATGGTATCTCAGTTTTGAAGACAGAGTTAGTTAGACAGTTTGAAATGAAGGGTTTGGGTTCTCTACGATATTTCTAGGGTATTGTGGTAGTCTGCTCACCCAGAGGTTACCTTTTTTCTCATTCGAAATATGTAAAAGATATTCTTGAGCATGCTCGACTTACTGATAATAAGACTGTTGATACTCGCATTGAGGTTAACGCAAAATATTCTTCTTCTGATGGTTTATCTTTATAAGATCCTACTTTATACCATACTATTGTTTGAAGCTTGGTATATCTCACTATTACTCGTCCAGATATTGCATATGTTGTTCATGTTGTTAGTCAGTTTGTTGCTTCTCATACTACAGTTCATTGGACAGATGTTCTTCGTATTTTGCCGTATTTTCGAAGTACAGTCTTTCAGAGTCTTTTACTTCCATCCACACCTTCCTTGGAGGTGCGTGCATACTCTGATATTGATCATGGCAGCGATCCCACATATCGCAAGTCTATTACTAGCTTCTGTATCTTTTTGGGTGATTCTCTTATTTCTTGGAAGAGCAAGAAGCAATCTATTGTTTCTCAATCTTCAACCGAAGCAGAATATCGTGCTATGACATCCACTACCAAAGAGATGTTTTGGTTACTTTGGTTACTTGCAGATATGTGATTTTTCTTTTTCATTCCACTCTTATGTATTGTGATAACCAAAGTTCCATTCAAATTACTCACAACTCGGTTTTTCATGAACGAACTAAGTACATTGAGATCGATTGTCACCTTACTCATCATCATCTCAAGCATGGTACAATTACTTTGCCCTTTGTTTCTTCTTCTTTGTAGCTTG